AGTCAATATTTGACAAAGGGGTCAAGAGTATAAAATGGACTAAAAGTAGCCTCTTCAACAAATTGAGGGAACTGGGATGATACATGCAAAAAAATGCAACTAGACCACCAATTTACCCTAAAAACCAGAATAAACTCAAAATGGATAAAAGACTTAAACATAAACCATGAAACCAAAAAAGTCCTAGAGGAAAACATAGTAAAATTTCAGATACCCCACACAGCAATATTTTCGCCAATATATCCTTAAGGGCAAGGGAAATAAAAGAAAGAATGAACAAATGGGACTAAATCAAAGTTAAAAAGCTTCTGCATGGCTAAAGAAAACATCAGCAAATTGAAAAGGGAACCAACCATACAGGAAAACATATTTGCCAATGATACCTTAGACAAGGATATGATCTCCAAAATACATTAAAAACTGACATGATCCAACACCAGGAAGACAAATAATCCAATTAAAAAATGGGCAAAGGACCTGAACAGACACTTGTCCAAGGAGGACATACAGAGAACCCAGAGATGTATGAAAGGATGCTCAGCATCTCTAGCCATCAGGGAGATGCCAATTAAAACCACAGTGAGATTCCAACTCACACCAGACAGAATGGCCACCACAAACAAATAAACAAACAAGTGTTGGAGAGGATGTGGAGAAAAGAAACCCTAATACACTGCTGGTGGGAATGCAGACTGGTACTGCCACTGTGGAAAACAGTATGGAATTTCCTCAAAAAGCTGAAAATGGAACTGCCTTTTTTTCATCTATTTCTTTTATTGCAATAAAACATATATGACAAAGGAAGAAAATTCTGGAACTGCCTTTTGACCCAGTAATTCCACTGTTGGGATTATGTCCTAAGAATCCTGAAACACTGATTGAAAAGAACCTATGACCTTTTTCTTTATAGCAGTGTTATTTACGATAGCCATGTGCTGGAAACAGCCTAAGTGCCCATCAGTAGATGAATAAACCAAAAATGGTGGTATATTTACACAATGGAATACTATGCAGCAGAAAGAAAGAAGGAGCTCCTACCTCTTGCAATGGTATGAATGAAACTGGGGAATATTATGCTAAGTGAAATAATCCAGGTGGAGAAAGACAAATATCATTCCACCTCATCTATAAGTAGAACCTAGTGAACAAAACTGTTGCGTGGGTCACCGGCCAGCAGTGACCACGGAACGCTGTGCATGGCTCGACAATAAACACGCGAGAAAAAACGATACATGCACAGAGACAGACTAGTTTCTGTGGGGAAGTAGGGACGAAATGGCCACCCCCCCTAGTGGGGAGCACGCCGATTTACAGTCCATACCTGCTTTTATTGGGCTCATTTTGCATAATAATTCAGGTAAAGTACAGTACTCATTAGGGGGAAGTAAGGAACCATAGAAAACAAAGAACTCTGCCGGTCTATTGAGTTGGGGGGTCAAAGAGCTGTAAGACTGAGGAACAAAATAACTTCCTCCTAAGACCCTTCTCATTCAACTGAGAGCATTCTAAACAAAGGAGGTTTCACAGTAATTTACATGTTCTTTCTTAGGCCTGATCACCCTGGGGAATCCGCACTTCTCAGTACAGAGCTGCACCACCCTGTCACTGTTTCAGGCTTAGGTGGAGCAAGGGAACTAAGGCAACCAAGAGACAAGGTGGTTTTCTCCCAGACGCTGAGAACTCAGGCTATGTCAAAGCCGAGGAGCAAGGGTCCATCACCCCCTTTTGCTGCAGCCCCCCAAGTCCTTCTTTTGGGGGGCCTCCCAAAGTGATCGTGCCTGTCTTAGGTCGTTCCCCCCTTGGGGAATCTTACCCGTCTTTGGCTAACCGACCAAGCTTTTTGGGGTTCAGTCATGAGTAAAGCAGCAGAAGCAGCATTCCTGCCAGGGAGATAAGCTTTTGTCTCCTTGCTGGCTTACGGTTCCAAGGGCGTTCTCTTAGCCTTAGCCTAGGTGGGGGTTTCAGCTTCTGATACCAGTCAGGGCAATTCCCAACACAAAACAAAGAAGCAAAATAGAACCAGAGGCATGGAAGCAGGGAACAGACTGACGGCGACCAGAAGGGAGGGGAGAGGGGAACAAGGTGGACAAGATGGGGAAGGGACTAGTCAATGAAGATGTATAAATGATCCATGGACAACAGGGTGGGGATTGACAGTGAGAGCTGGAAGTGGGAGGGGCAGGGCAGGGCAGAGCAATGGGGGAAACTTGGGACAAGTGTTCATACAAAAACACTAATGAAGAAAGTATTAACGCCAACTGAAATTCTAGAATAAACCATGTTTTTTCTCCAGGCATATTATTTGCTGTTTTATTTTGCTTATGAAACGAGCCCACTCTAAATAGTTGTGTGTTTGTGCTCTCATGAGCACAGAAGTACAAAGTGTATCTAGCCTGGCTTGTGTCTCTCCTAACAAATACGTGCCTCTGATGCTCTGCACAGCAGCATCTCTCCTGCTTGGTGGGCAGGGGCTCAGGGGCACTGGGCCCACTGGTGTCTCCAGAAGCCAGAACAGGGCTGGGCCTGGGAGTGGGCAGGGCTGCTCTGCTGCTTACATGCAAGGACGAAGCCTTTTGCTTCTGATCTGTAGGAGTGAGTTCCTAATGAGCCATCCTCTTGGAAAAAACAGCTGGAAACCCTGGGCAATATTTGGAGAATGATGCCTGAGACTCAAGAAAGTGAACAAAGACAGTACAAGTCTGACGTAAAGTCAAATCTCACAAGCAACCAACACACAATGTTTCCAGTTTACTATCTGGAATGTGGCAGGCTCTGAGAGCAGCCACAGGCTTGTGGGGTGGTCAGCACTTTGGTAGAAAGTCCACGTTCTTCCTGGGCAGCAAAGTCAGGCAGCCAGTCTTTCTGGGGGACAAGTGGGTAATCCCAGAAAGAAGCATGTCACAGCAGCTCCTCAAATTTTGTCTATAAACTCTCCCTAAGCCTTCAGACCTGAGTTCCAAACCAACTGACAGGCCAAAAGGTGAGACAGATCAAGATCAAAATACCATCTTTCTTCTTGGTAAAAGCTGGATGGAGATATGGCTTAGATGTGTGCCAAAAATAATCCCTAAATCTGAACCCCAGGATTAGATTTATCCACAAAACCTCAGGCTGCTACAATCAACCATGTAATACACACACACACCACACCATACAGACCACTGTCCCTGTGCACTTGAGCTTAGAGGAGCAGAGAGCCCTGGCCTCTCCCACAGGATAAACCCAGGGAGACACACCAGGGAGGAGAGTCACCTTTCACAGGACTCCCAGCCTGAGAGTCTCTCCAGAAAGAAGGGAGGGCAGGGGGACCAGGAGTCCTGCTAGTTGATGGGCCACCTCCTAGAAGAGGATATCAGTGCAGGGCCTGAGTATTTCTACTTAGGTCCAGGTGCCCCTCCCTCTCCACGCCCACATCCACAGAGGTGCCTCGGGTCTCCATCCTCAGCCCAGTGGCTGCTGTTGCTGCTGCTTTCTTCCTCCTGCCAGTGAATTCTCAGATGTGGATTCCCTTCCTCATGTCAGGGACAAGCCTCTGTCCCCACAGGGTCTCCCAGGCTGGAGACTCAGCCCACTACTGACGTCTGATTGGAAGCTGCTCCTGGTGAAGCTAAGGAAACCTATCCCCGCCCTGAGTTCTCTGCCCCGTGTCCCCCCTCAGTTGCTGCCTCTCGTGCTTCTCAGGTCTCCAGGTCTCCAGGTCCCCTGGCTCAGGCGACTTCCCTGAAAACAGGAGTGGTCCCTGTTGTCCTCACTCCTTGCCACCAGGGAAAATGCCTCAAGCACTGGCTTCTTCCCTTCACATCAGTCCAGCAGGATTGTTAGGGAGTCCACCTGCTTGCAAAGATGGTCTTACCTGGGTCCTAGTGCAGGTGGGTCTGACATTGTTTTCTGGATCAAAAATCTTTGCTTTCTGCACAGAGGTCTCAGAATCCCACAGAAACCACTGCTGTTGGCAGAGTAGGGTGCACGCCAGCTTATCCCGGCCCAACAAGCATCCCATTCCCTTCGGCCAAGGCATCCCCAGTTTGGGAGTGTCCGCCCATGGGCCCGGCCACTGTGGGTTTCCCACCCAGGCAACTGTCATTCATGTAGACATCTTGGTGACTCTAAGCCAACTCAGGGCAAAGTGGGCACATTTATGCCAACACCCAGACCAGGGGGCCCAGTCTGCCTGCTGTGGGAGAGAGGAAAGTGAGGGGAGGGGGAACACTGGAAAGACTGGTGGTGTCTGTGTCAGACCTTGAACCATGGGCCCCCTGAACCATGGAGGCCAGAAGCAGAGGACAGCTGTGCCTAGCAAAGGCTCAGCTTACTAATTTTCTACCCCCAATGACCAGTGAGGGAGGGAATCAGGGGAAGGAGAGATCCCCCATGTGTGCAACACATGGGACACACTGAGATCCTGCACTCTGGGAAAAGAAACAGTCTATGGAATCTGTGCAGATTGATACTGGCTTTTTGGGAGGAAAGAAAGAACATATATGGAGAGAGGTTAGAAACTTCCCCTGTATCTTACACGTAAATTGGCCACAACCCTTAGTCCCAGCTGGAGGGAGTTGGACTCAGGGAACAAACGTGAAAACCATCACTCTAAGAATCTTGCTTCTCCAGCCCTGTGTCTGAACACGGAGACCTTACTCTGTTCCCCTGCACCCTCTCAGAAAGTTAGGGCTGTGAGAACAGTGGGATTCACTGATGTTTTTGTATCTTTGCACAAACAAGAGAACTCCTGGAGGGCAGGGCTGCTTATTGCTGTGTGTCCTCTTCCCCCACCCCTCCAGTCCCTGACTATCTGCCCGCCCCCCGCCCCGTGTCCTCCACTCCTGCTGCACCATGTCCCTATCGATCTCGATCGCTCAGAGCCATGTCGGGCTGCAGGAGGAGGGAGACATGTCTGACAACACTCCAGAAGTTATTTTCACTTTTCATTTCCCTTTTGGGTGGAGCCTTCTCAGAGCGAGTAAGTTACGGACTTCCTGTTCAGTGCTAACCAGGCTGAAACCAAGCTGAAACCAGGTCGGGGACACTAGGGATCAGAGGCCCAGGCAGAGCCAAAGGCAAGACGAAGGTCCCTGGGGACAGCAACCTCTGCACCAGGTTAGTCTCTGTCTTCCTTCCTTTAACTTTCTCTCTGGCAGTGCTGCTGCTTTAGTGCTTGTCATTAGACACTCATAGAAACCTTGACTTTAGTCCAGCTTCACAAGAACACTCACGTGCAGTGTAATGAGACGCAGGAATGTGTGATGAGAAAATTGACTCTTTAAACTGCAGAGGGGCAGCCTCTGGTGTGAGTGCAGTGGCCCACAGGACTCTTGTGTTACACCTGCTGCTCCACTGGAGAGCCATCTGGACTGAGTTGTGCTTCCTGAGGTGTTGAGGCAGTGAATTGTTATTTTCTCATGACCTCTGAACCCTCTTGTTCCCCTAGGGCCCCTCTACCTTCACCTGGGTCATTTCAAAGAGAGTACTTTAGAAAATACAAAATTCAGGGTAAGCATCTGACTTTTCAAATCTGGGTGCCTTGTCCTCAGACCTGACCTGGGAACGGGTCAGCACCCAGCCTATTCCCATCTCTGGTTGTGGGTCTGATTCTTCCTCTGGGGATCTTGATCTAAGGACATCAAAGGAAGAGGAAGGACCAACATGCCAAAACCCAGGGCAGGCTGACGTTTTCATTTGTACTTTGATTTTCTGCTCTGGGTGGATTCTACCTCTGACAAGGAAAAAGCTAGAAACCCGACCTTTAGTAATGGGTCAGAAATAACACTACTTAATATGCTTAATTGTTCGATTTTTTAATACAAAAGAAATGCATTATACATTGCTGGTCATAAATATTCAAATAGCATGTATATAGAGGGGAAAGTCCTTTTCACCACGCACCCCTGCAGCTTCCAGTCCTGGTCCTGCTGAGTGTTGTGGGCACAGCCTTTCATGTCTGTTCTATGCATTTACACACATGACTTGTTCTCCTAAATGCATAATTTGTATCTTTTTTTAATGAATGAAATTATATTGGATACACCATTCTGTATTTTACATTTTTTAAACTTTAATATTAAACTTATTAGAGGTTTTTTTTCAAGTGACTAAATATTGCATCTCCCTCATTTTATTAACATTGCATACTACTTCTTGGAGTCAATGCACCATAATTTTTAAATTATGTTCCATTGAAACCATTTGTGTTGTTTTTAATTGTTCATATTATGAAAAATATGCAATAATATCAATTATATAGTTATGTTTTGCATATATACAAGTATTTGTCTTGTGTCAAAATCAAAAAAATAAAATTGTTGAGGCTAAGGGTCCTAATATTTAATGGTTTATAGATCCTACCAAATTGCCTTCCTTGTGGCCGAACCACTATAATATTCTCCTACGACTGTATGTAGCCTGTTAATTCGCATTCTTTGATTGCATGGGAGCTTCAACAGGTCTTCATGTCTATTGGTCATTTAAATTGCCTCTTCTATGAATTGCCAGTTTATTTTTTGCCAATGTTGAGGAGATTGTTCTTCCTTTAATCATATGGGACAGTCTGCTACATACTCTGAAATTTATTTTTACTTATTTATTTTTTATTTTTTTCATTATATTTAAGTATATTTTATTGATTATGCTATTACAGTTGTCCCATTTTTTTCTCCCCTTTGTTCCCCTCCACCCTGCACACCCTCTCCCACTTGCATCCCCCCCTTTAGTTCATGTCCATGGGTCACACATATAAGTTCTTTGGCTCCTACATTTCCTATACTGTTCTTAACCTCCCCCTGTTTTCTACCTACCATTTATGCTACTTATTCCCTATAACTTTTTCTCCATTCCTCCCCTCCCCTTCCCCCTGATAAACTTCCATGTGATTTCCATTTCTGTGGTCCTGTTCCTGTTCTAGTTGTTTGCTTAGTTTGTTTTTGTTCTTGTGTTTAGGTTTGGTTGTTGATCGTTGTGAGTTTGTTGTCATTTTACTGTTCATATTTTTTACCTTCTTTTTCTTAGATAAGTCCCTTTAACATTTCATAGAATAAGGGCTTGATGATGATGAACTCCTTTAACTTGACCTTATCTGGGAAGCGCTGTATCTGCCCTTCCATTCTAAATGATAGCTTTGCTGGATAGAATAATCTGGGATGTAGGTCCTTGCCTTTCACAATTTTGAATACTTCTTTCCAGCCCCTTCTTGTCTGTAAGGTTTCCTTTGAGAAATCAGCTGATAGTCTTATTCTTATGGGTAACTTCTTTGTAGGTAATGGTCTACTTTTCTCCTGCTGCTTTCAATATTCTCTCCTTATCTCTAAACTTGGGCAATGTAATTATGATGTGTCTTGGTGTGTGCTTCATTGGGTCCAACTTCTTTGGGACTCTGTGAGCTTCCTAGACTTCCTGGAAATCTATTTCCTTGGCCAGATTGGGGAAGCTCTCTTACATTATTGTTTCAAATAAGTTTTTGATTTCTTGGTCTTCCTCTTCTCCTTCTGGCACCCCTATGATTCAGATGTTGGAATGTTTGAAGTTGTCTCAGAGGTTCCTAAGCCTCTCCTTATCTTTTTTGAGTTCCTGTTTCTTCATTCTGTTCTGGTTGAATGTTTCTTTCTTCCTTCTGGTCCAAAACAGTCGATTTGAGTCCCGGTTTCCTTCCCGTCACTGTTGGTTCCCTGTACATTTTCCTTTATTTCCCTTTTCATAGTCTTCACTTCTTCCTCTAGTTTGCAACCATACTCCACCATTTCTGTGAGCATCCTGATTACCAGTGTCTTGAACTGTGCATCTTCTAGGTTGGCTATCTCTTCTTTGCTTAGTTGTAGTTTTTCTGGAGCTTTGATCTGTTCTTTCACTTGGGCCATTTTTTTTTTTTTTTGGTCTCAGCATGCCTGTTTCGTAGTAATGGGTGGAGCCTTAGGTATTCATCAGAGCTGAGCAACCCAGGTCGCTACATTGTGGCACTGTCTGTGGGGGAGGGGTCCCAGAGGGAATGATGCTGTTTGCTCAGATCTCTGCTGGCTTTCAGTCACTTCCCCTGCTGCCCACAATCAAATTGGGCCCTTTTAGTGCTGATTCCTGAGTGAGTGGGTTTGTGTATGTTCCAGGACGCTGTGTGTCTCTCCAACAAACTCTCCTGTGAGGCTGGGAGTTTCTCCTGCCGCCTCAACCCCCACAGGTTTTTTCAGTCAGAGGTTTTGAGGCTTTATTTCCCTGCACTGGAACCCTGGGTTGCATGATCTGTCTCACTCACCAGTTCCTCCTGGTTTATGCATACGCAAATGTTGGACTGCTTGGTCTGCCAGCCGCCACCCTGCCTGTCCTGGTCCTCCAGCCCCTGCCTTGCCACACGTCCTCTCTGCCCAGCTTCCCATCTCAGGCCCTCCTACCAGTCTGGATGAATTCCTTCTTTCACTCCTTGGTTGTCAGACTTCAATACATTTCTATTTTCTGTCAGTAATGGTTGTTCTTTTATTTTTAAATTTGTTGTTGCCCTTGTTTTGGTTGTGCAAGGAGGCACAGTATATCTATCTATACATCCATCTTGGCCAGAAGTCTCTTAAATGATTTTTAATCTATATTTTTTAAATTGTTAGTTTTGAATTTGAAACCATATTATTCAAGTTTCCGACATTTAAAACAAGTCATTTAACTCTAATTTTTCTTTAACACTCAGCTCAACACATAAGTTTGTTAATATACTTTGAAATCTTACACTGAAATAGCTTTTGTTTTACAAAATAAAATTCTTCTTTTTCTAGATTATCTTTCTGCCTACAGATTCTTTACACATTTTTTTAAGTACAAACCTAGGTTTTTTATATTTTGGTGCTGTTATTAATGGTATTGTCTAATTTAATAGTGAATTGCAATTTTTCAATGATGGTGTGTACCAAAGCTATTACAATTTTTATATTATTTTGCATACTTTGTCCATGCTGTATTTACTTATTACTTCAATAGATATTTTGGTGAATTCTTTGGGATTTTGTGCATAGACGGTTATGTCACCTGCAAAGACAGTTTTATTTCTTCCACACTCTACAGTTTTAATTTCCTTGTCATTTTCTAGTATGCATTCCAGTATAATAGTGACTAGGACTTGTAAAAGGGAACATCTTTCCTTTTCCTGATCTTAGGGAGAAAGGGTGCAGTTTCTCAGCAGTAAGTCTCATGTTAGTTAGCTACAGGCTTCTTGTAGATGTTCCTTCTCCAGTTGAGGAAGTTCCTTTTTGTGTCCAGGTTGCTAGGGGTTTTTACATGAGTGGAAGTGGATTTTGTCAAATGAACTTTCTGCATCAGTTGACATGATCACTCTATTTTTCTTCTTCAGCCATTTGATATGGTGTATTACTTTGATTGATTTGGGATATTAAACCAGCCTTACATATCTAGAGTAAATTCCATGTGATCATGAGTATAATTTTTCTATAGAGTGTTGTATGGAATTTGCTAATGTATTGGTGAAGAATTTTGCATTTCTATTCATGTGAGTTATGGGTTAGTAGTCGACCTTTCTCTATTTTTGGTGTTGCAGTATTGCTGGACTCATGAGATGAGTTAAAAGTGTTCCCTCTGCTTCTATTTTCTGGGCAAAGCTTGAAGAACTGGTATAATTTCTTAGTTCAATATTTAGTATGTTCACCAGTGAAACTATCTGAGCCTGATGCTTACATTTTTCAAAATTAAAGTGTTGGAACTTCCAGCCAAGATGGAGGCATAGGCAGACACACTGTGCCTCCTCCCACAACCAAAATAAGGACAACAAAATTTTAGAAACAGAAAAACAACAAGTACTGACAGAACATTGAACTGAATGGAAGTCCGAAAACCAAGGAGTTAAAATAGGCACATTCAGCCAGACTGGTAGGAGGGGTTGAGTCAGGTGGCCAGGCCAAGAGGGGTCGCATCAAAAAAAGCAGTGGCTGGCAGACCCCAGGCACAAGGTGACAGTGGGCAAACCCAGCAAGGTGGCAGATTGTGGATGGGCATGGCTTGCAAGGTGGCTGGCAGACCAGGTGATCCCACATTCATGCACAGAAAAAACAGGCAAAACTGGGGAGTGAGATATAACGCACAACCCAGGGCTCTAACTCAGGGAAATAAAGCCTCAA